CCCCTGGGATTAAGGCACTAGGCTCCAATTATCCACAGTGGTCCTTAACTATTTCTTATTTTTGAGTGTTTGTAGCCCACATCGTTACATTTGGGAATGGCTGAAATAGACAGAATGTGGATCCTGTATAATTTAATTAGGATGAAAACAGCACCTAGTTTATCAGTCATTCATTTGTCACTTTTTTGGGAAAAGATGCTCAGTGTGGTTAAAGAAAATAGAAGGACAATGCAAGGACATTATCTACTGTATTAGTTTTAAGATGCTAAAAAAACACTATGAACAGCTTTGTACCAGAGAGGTGTCCAGCCTCTGATCTGCAAGACAAACAACGCTTATATGGTTTCTTTCTCATCATCATGTTTACAACCTCATGTCCTTCCACATTTGCTTCGGTCACCCCAAGCTTAATTTGAGAGTTTATTACCACGCCTGAAATCCAAGGGACAGATGAGCCATGCCTCAAATTTCGTGTTCCACTCAAAGACTTTCAGGGCTCTTTGATTGGTAATTACTGGCTGTATGCAGGCACCGAGCCGACCCACTTGTCTCCAATCCCACCGTATCAAAGAGTATGGGAAAGATGGATAATTTGGCTGTATGTAAGGATTAAACAGTAGGGTACGGTTGTCTAGTTTAAAATGGGGCCTATTATCGAAAAACGTACATCATAAACACAAATCTTAAACACAATCTAGAAACTTCATAGATCTAGTAAGTAAGTAATCTTAATGTATATAGTGCATTATACAGACCAAGGTCACTCAAAACAATTGTTGAGCGTGCAGATGTTTTTCCATTCTCTCCACATGGTGATGACGGAAGAGAGAATGATGAATCAAAGTTCCCAAGTCACATGCTCCATTCACTTACTCATTACATTCAGACCTATTGTACATGTTTTTAGTGGTAGGGGAAACCGGAGTACCCGGAATAAATGTACACAGACATGAGGAGAACATGCAAACTCAACACAGAAAGGCCTGGAGGTGGAATCGAACCCCCAGACCTACCTGCTGTGAAGCACAATCTCCACTGGTAATCCTGTAAAGTCTGCTGAACAAAATGAAACTCATGTGTTACAAGTCATCTCTATGAAGATGTTCTCCAGGAGCTTCACTTGAGCTTTGTTTTGGTCAAATGTTTAAACAATCCCATATTCACAGACCTTCGAGGGTCTCAACAGGGAGTTGGTTAATTAAAGGAATAATTGGCCAACTCATCGATTATCAAATTAAATGTTAAATATAGCTGCAAGTGGAGATGAACGGCCTTCACCAGACTGCACCCCCCATTTCGTGTTAATGTCCGATTAACACATAATGGTCCCCGCAATTGCTACGGCAACAAGGTAAGAAATATGGCATGAGTCTCATTGACTTTATGAAAAGTAAATATAGTAAAATATTATTTTTGCCCTATATTAAAATAAGTGCATTAGCAGCTTGAACAAACTTAACTTATCATTTGATTCATTGATGATTTTGAGCAATTTTAAGCCACATTACTCATGAGCAAAAATAACAAATATGCAATTTAGAATTTTCCATCAAGATGGTGGACGTTGGGTGTACATTTTTGGAAAGTGTGCACACATTCCTACGTCTTGTAATAATAAATAATCTCTGAGCACAACACATGCACAGATTGTTTGGTGTGTTAGTCAATGTTTGACAGGGACATAACTCGCGGCAGCCACATCTGCCCAGGCTCCGCTCGCTTTCCATTTTAGAACCTCAAATTTATATGCATTGTTACGAGCACTTCACAAATCATGCACACTTTTCCGCACTTGGGATGCATTCAGTTACGAGACTGCGAGGCCCTTCCCCAGCTTGTGGCGCTCGGGCCTCATCACAGCCCGAGTTTAAATGTGTTGTTGCAGAGTGTGGAACAACATGAAGTGCATTTACTTTAGCTTCTTTGCACTCAGAAATCTGCAAACTTTGATTGATTCTCACTATTCTGCCTGACTATCTTTCAACCATGTGCGTCACAACCGCAGCGGCACAAACAGCTATTATTCGGGAGATGACTCAAATCCCATAAGCCCCCTCAGAGCCCTGGAAACGCAGGTCCTGCACTGGCATGTCACAGCCTGGTGCGCACAAAGACAACTACATTAACACGTGCACACACACACACACGCACACGCACACAACACGTCAGCACCTTTTGTTGTCGCTGCAAACGTGGAACAAAGAAACCATATTTTTGCATTAGTTTCATGTTTAGAGTTAAATAAGTTTCAGTTACACAGGTTATTTGAATCTATATTTCAAAAGGCCCGGACAAATAGATTGTCAAAAAGTACCATGGACAATATGTGAAAATCCTGAGCCATGATTGCTGTTATCATGAGGGCAATAATCCAAGCACAGACAATGGGGCAGTCTTCTTGCAACAAAGAAACTGAAAAATAATAACCTCAAATTCTAAACATGACGCACACTTCAAACAGAGCATGATAATAACGGCCTCTCCAGTTTCTATTTTTGTCTTCTCACCCCCTCGTATAACATATGCCAGACTTGCTCTTTAACTTTTTTTGCACCACTAACTTTCTCACAATGGCCCCGCTTTGGAGAGTAATGTTTTTCTCCCCCATTCACTTCCTCATAGCTATGGCTCGTCTGATTGGCCGGGAGGAGTGTATGGGTGGCCAATGGGCGCGCAGTTACCAGGCAGTATGAGCAGAGTTTGGAGGCGGCTGGAACCTTGCACAGCTGTTCTATTGAAATACAGCGGGCCATAATAACAAGGGCCCCTCACCATGCGCTGATCGCACTCAAAGAGGCACAAAAAGTCTGGATTCAATTAAAGTAGAGGAGCTTGGCAAGGTTTGGGCAGGGGCCATTTTGGACACCGATTGTAAACACTTAGGATTGTGTTTACTATTTTTATAGATTATAAAAGTGCATGCAACATGTTTTAATATTTACACTCAAGTTAGTCAACAAAAGTAGAGCCTATACACAGATGTAGTGAATGAAATTTAACGTTTCTTTCAAAAGGTGAGCAACACTGACAATAATGAATCTCAAAGTTTGTTTTTTGTTACCAATAACAAAACAGGACAGACAATATGTGAACAGACGCCATTTAAAGAATGTGTCTTTCAATGGATTCGTTGCAACAAGTGCAGTATACACACCACCATTACAGTTGTAGACCATGTAAGCTATAACATTTTCTCCCACATAAACATTATCTGACACAAACAGCAGCTGCTCCAAGTGTATTAGTGCTGCAGCAGGAGTGCTCTACATTGAAGACAAAACACAGCTCAAGTTTGTTCCTTTCACAAGGTGACACATTGGCCAATAGCGCTGGAGAATTGTTAACCAGACCCATTGACCCAAATCACCAACGCAATGTTGTTTGCCCATCTGTCCCTTTAGCACTAACCATTTCAAGCTTACAGATTTCCACCCACGAGTTTCACACTTGTGGCTTTGTGCATTATGCCAAAAAGCACTCGGCTAAAAATGATTAGATAGAGCCATTGTTTGACAGGGAAGACTCAAAAAGCATTGATGTACTGCATTGCGTGGTACAGTATATGGTGCATTTTTTAGCTTTTAGAATTAATAAATGAGCTGCTTTTCAGACACACACACATGCATACATGCATATATACAGCACATTATGCCATATTAGCATTATGGTTAAATGGAGATCCCAGTTTCTGAATCAGTAAGCAGGAATAATAGGCTCCATGAAAGGACAAAGGACAACTGTTGGTGCACCAGAGATGGCCAATCGTTCAATATACCAAAATCCCATTGTTGCTTTCGGTCTACTTTTCTGGCCATTTTCAACACACACACACACACACACACACACACTGACCAAATACTGTAAATTGGATTAATGAAGGTAATCTTGTGATGCTGTATGCGACTTCTACATCTTACAGCGATAGATGTAGAAGTTGTAATTATAGACTCACTAATGGTGTTTTAGTATCGTTTTTTTATTCTTGTTTGTGTATTTTGTCTTTATCATTTTTAACTTTTGTCCCATTCTTTTCACTACAGCTAATTTATCCAACTACTAAGTAATGTTGAAAAGCCTCAATGGGCGCTTGATTATCCATTTGAACATTTTGACCTGACCTTGAATTGATAACGATAACCTGAGTGTTTTCAGCTCTCACTGACCCATTTACGTGTGATAAGATTTAGTTTTTTCATTGCCCAATATTAAAAAAAAGAAAAAAAAAAGAAGAAGAAAAAGTCACACAGAAAATGTTTGAGAACATGAGAAGGATTTTATTTTGGAGAAGCTATTCTGGTCGGGGATTAAACAACACTCTGGCCTTGAGGTACACCTTGGACATGTTTACAAGCCCACTTTAATCCACCATGTGTTATTTTTAATAGAATATGATGCTAATAATATTGTGAACATATTGTGAACATGCAGTCTTCATCTTATTGGAAAACATTTTAGCTTTTACATAATGAGATTGGCTGAATGAGGGCTGGTCTCTTTCACTGACGCAGATTATCTAAATATGCGACAGAGGCCAAAAATATATTTGTGGGAAAATGAAGACAACTGTTTTGAAAGCGAGGAACTAGGGCCACGGTTTTGTTTACATTGTTAATATGTTGTGGTTTCACAGTGAGGTACTCCAGTTTGAAGTATTTCCAATATATCATAAACCACATAATAAGGTATATGTGATTGAAACGCATAAAAGTATACTTCACTGTCAAACGGGGGTGTAGCCTTGGCCTTGGACAAAGTTCTATAGTACACTATTTTTAAGCCTATACATATGGTACATGGTGCGAGATTTACAACACAGGGATCCTGGTCTCCACAGATAACGAAAGTACAAAGTCCGTCCCCCATTGTGTGCTCGGAGTCATGCACAGTACACAAATGTGGCTCTGACGCTCCGAGCCAGCAAATTGATCGCAGTCTGGAGACCTTTGCCCTGTTAGCCCCCTCCGCCGCTGTGGCTACTGGCCTCAGACGGGTCACAGCAGATGGGACGCTCTGGGGGGAGGGGTGTAGTGTTGCAACCACAGCCGTCCTGTCAATCCAGCGCTGAAATATTGCCTTCATTTCCAGTGTCTTCTACAATAAGCTCTATGTGAGTGGTGCATGTGTTGAGATTGAGAAATGTGTTTGTGTTTACTGTGCTGTAAGATCGCTCGCAGGGAAGAAGCAAGAGGCGTTAATTTTGTAATTAATCATGTGTGTAATTACTATAAGTCAAATCAATATACGCTACAGGCAAAAAGTGCAGCCCCACAAGCGCTATTCTGAAATAAATAGCTTCATAACAGCTGAAGTAAAACACAAAGACCCACTTGGTACAAGAAATCATGGACAATAAATGATGACATTGCATGAACAGCATTTCGAACCTAAACCATTCTACGTCATGGTGCTACGTCCCTTAGGACTTCGCTAGTGGGATATCACTCGTGACCCCCAGGTCACACGCCAGAGAGATCAAAATAATTTGCTCCAATCACCAGCCACCTTCCTCTATAAATGCCCCTGCACAAGGCCGCACCCCCTTTTTCACTCTGGCGCCGTTTGAGATCTACCACAGTACTTACTTCATTCTGAGATGTCTTCCTTGTTCGTCCGAGTTCCCTTCGCCCTCCGGCGTCGGACGTCGTCACTGGATCCAGACGGTGGAGGACTTCACCTCTGTGGGTGCCACCACTCGAGGAAGGAGGAGGATGCAACCCACGTTGTGCCCGCGGATGGACCCGTTCGTCCATTACGCGACACGTGAGTGGCCTAAGCCCCTAGCAGCCAAGAGGCCTGCTCTGGGGTACGACATATACTGCAGCGGGCAGGACTGGTCCTGGACCGGTGATCGAGGATTCAGTCCGCATGGCCCTGCAGCCCTCCGCATCCGTGTGGCCGGCACCAGACCTCTCCTTCTCTCCGAGCGGGACAGGATCTCTTGCCGAGGCTGGATAGATATTATGCCATTGCAGCACAGGTCCTCGCATTGACTAACTACATGGCATTCATCACGGGGGCCCTGGATATGTTGCTCTCTTCTGACCAGGCGCTCAGTGGAGACCTCCTGTCACAGGCGAGGACCACCTCGGCGGCGACTCTGCGCATGTGCCAGACGCTAGCTGTGGATGGTGGCCGCTCCATGGCAGCAGCCCAAGTCGGGCCAGGCACCTTTGGCTTGGGCTGGCTAATATCAGGGAGGCGGAGTGGAGGCAGCTGCTGGACCTGCCCACCTCTCAGATGTCCCTCTTCGGCCCGGACATGCAGGCCTGGGTGGCGAGACTGGAGTCTGCAGCTAAGGACTCGGCTAGGCTAGCCCCGCACCTAGCACCGAGGCGCGAGGCCCACCAGCCATTACGGAGCCGGGACAGAGGCAGAGAGCGTTGGCCCGGGAGGCATCCTGACCCGTATCCGCGCTCTGTTATCCATCGTCCCCCCTCGACGAGGCCCCCGGGTCCAGACAGACCCATGGGTGGCTCGCGGGAGCAACGCACCCACCACCGACCTCCCTATGGTAGAGGAGGCCGGGGTGGAAAAATTTCTCCTTCAATAAAGGCCGACCGGCATTTCATCATTACTTTCTGAGTCTGATTTGGGGGTATGTAACATGTCAAATATTGTGAATTCTGATTGTGTTACTTCCCGGGCACATAACGTTGCTTTGCTAGGCCTGCAGCCCCAGAGAGGGGAACGCGAACTACGAGCTCCGGTTTCTCTGATCCATACTATGCCCTCCCAGGGAGAGGTCAGGCGGAGGGATCTGGTGAGTGATATGTGTGTGCTTCGGCCGAACGCGTGTTAGCATCTCTGAGCTACAGGGCTAACACGGGGTTTCCCACTCCAGGGGCTCGCCCCCCCCTCCATGAGGCAAGAGCCAGGGGGGGGCACAGCAGCCGAGTGACGTGTGGTGAGCAGAGCTACAAGGCTAACACGGGGTTTCCCACTCCAGGGGCTCGCCCCCCCCTCCATGAGGCAAGAGCCAGGGGGGGGCACAGCAGCCGAGTCACGTGGGATGAGCAGTCCCGTACTTATGACGTCGGGCCTGCAGGACACGTGACCGCCCCCGGCGCTCACGGTGTGACGCAGGGTGCCCCCCCGGCCCTTTCGTCCACCCCCCCTCCCTGCTAGGAACACCAGGAGAGGGCGGGGCCGTGACGTCTCGTGTTCCAGCTCCCGTTCCGCTCCTCACAGACTTCTACAGCATCTGGAGGGAGCAAAGATGGCTGACATATCTATGGCTGGAGAGAACATTGCGCAGGGGTTGCGCACTGCAATTCTCCCAGAAGCCACCACCATTCCGAGGCGTACGGGCAGCACGCTCTCAGGTACGGGGTCATTAGAGGCACTGCAAGCGGAGGTCTCCTCTCTGCTGAGTCTAGGCGCAGCAGTAGAGGTAGACCCGCAGGACGCCACCAGGGGGCTGTACTCCCCTTACTTCTTAGTGCCAAGAAGTCAGCCGGGGTGCGTCCCATTTTGGATCTGCGCGTGTTGAACGAGTGCATTTCCAAACGGCAGTTTCGGATGCTGCCCACAAAGCAGCTCCTCGAGTGTGTCAGGCAGGGAGATTGGATATCCTCCATAGACCTGACAGATGCGTACTTCCACGTGCCGATAGTACCGGAACACAGGAGGTTCTGCGCTTCGCAGTGGGAGAGAGGAATTACGAGTACTGTCGTTTTCCCCTTGGGCTACGCACTCGCGCCGTGGAGCAGGGGTAAGAATTTAATCTACATAGACGTCGGGTTAATTCTGGCCTCATCCAGGGAAGTGGCCGTGAGTCATACGCACTGGGTCCTGTCCCACATACAGCGCCTGGGCTTTGTGGTTAACAGGGAGAAAATTAACAGTTACCTTTGTAACTTAAGTTCTACGAATAGGTGCACGTGATATCCCACTAGCGAAGTCCGCTAGGGGACGTAGCACCATGACGTAGAAGCAGGCTGCAACCGGCTCAGCGCATGATCTATCTCGGTCTGCAGCTAGACTCTGTGACATTCCGTGCTGCATGGTCCGTGGACAGACGGATGAACACTACCCGTCTGCCCGGGGAGGTTCTGGCGGGCCCCAGAGTCCCCGCTCGGCGCCTCAGGTCCCTGCTGGGAATGATGGCGGCGGCTCATGCTGTGGTGCGGCTAGGCCTTCTCCACATGAGGAATTTTCAGAGGTGGTTCTCACGCCTCAGGCTTCACCCTTCCCGGGACGGGGGGAGGCTGATCTGGGTTCCCCAAGTGGCAGCATCGAACATCAGGTTCTGGCTCACTCCGGGTCTTCTACGGGACGGAGTGACTCTGGCCGGCGCCGTGTCTCACGTGGAGATGTTCACGGACGCGTCGCTCGAAGGATGGGGCGGGGTCCTCGGCCAGAGTTCGGTAGGAGGCTGCTGGTCGGACTCAGCCCGTCACATCAACCTGCTGGAGATGGAGGCAGTGCACAGGGTACTGCTGCACTTTGCCCCTCAGCTGCAGGGGAGACACGTGATGGTGCGCTCAGACAACACCACAGTGGTCTCCTATCTGAACAGGCAGGGGGGCACCAGGTCCCCCGCTCTCCATCGCATGGCGACGGTGACGCTGCTGTGGGCGGAGCTTCACCTCCTGTCTCTCAGGGCGCGCCACGTCCCGGGGGTCCGGAACGTGGGGGCCGACAGGATGTCCAGGGGGGGGGCCCACTCCAGGACGAGTGGGGCCTGGCCCCAGGGGTGGCTGCGGAGATCTGGCGGAGGTTCGGCCGTCCAGTGGTCGACCTTTTTTCGCCAGAGCAGGAAACGCACAGTGCCCGTCCTGGTTCGCCTCAAGGGCCGCGGACCAGCCGCCTTTAGACGTGGACGCTCTGGCTCATTACCCCTGGCCAGGGGGCCTGCTGTACGCGTTCCCCACCAGTGCGTCTCCTGCCGGTCCTGCTGCGGAGGATCGAACAGGAGAGGAGGTCGGTGATCCTGGTGGCGCCGGACAGTCCGCATGCCCGGTGGTTCCCCTTCCTGAGGGGCATGGCGGTGATGGAGCCCTGGACCCTCCCGGACGAGCCGGGGGCTCTAGTCCAGGGGGGGAGGAGCCCTGTTTTCACGCCCGATAATCGGCCGCAGGCTCTGGGTTGGAGGCTGAGAGGCGGAACCTCGTAGACCTGGGTCTTCCCCCTGCGGTGGTGGAGACCACTCAGGGGGCGAGGGCGCCGTCCACTGTGAGGGCCTACGCCACGAGGTGGAGGCTCTTTAGCGACTGGTGCGGTTTTCGTTCCTGGGATCCCAGGCGTTGCCCGCTGGAGGGGGTCCTGGGATTCCTACAGGAGCTCTTTGACAAGGGGAGGGCTGTCGCCACCTTGGCGGTGTTCGCGGCAGCCATTACTTCGGGTCACGACGGATTCGGGGGGTTCACAGCCCGCTCTCGTCCGTTGGTTAAACATTTTCTGCGGGGGGCACGCAGGAGGAGGCCCCCGCTCCAGAGAACGCCCCGGTTTGGGACCTCAGGGTGGTCCTTAGGGGGCTGTCGGGTCCGCCTTTTGAACCGGCGGCGGAGGCGAGTCCCGAGTGTGTCGCTTTAAGACGGCCCTCTTGTTGGCGTTGGCGTCTGCTAAGAGGGCGGGCGACTTGTGTGCGCTCTCTGTCCATGCGTCTTGCCTGTCCTTTGGAGAGGGCGACGGCATGGTGGTATTGTGGCCCAATCCGGCTTTTCTCCCCAAGGTCATCACGTCGGCCTTTAGGTCGAGAGTCATCAGGATTAGGGCTTTCTATCCGCCACCGCATGCCTCCCCCGAGGAGGAGCGGCGGCACCTTCTGTGTCCTGTCAGAATGCTGAGGCATTACCTGGCCATGACGTCGTCATTCAGGTTGGGTGGCCAGCTGTTTGTGTGTCTGGGCCCCAAGAACAGGGGCGCCCCGCTGTCGGCTCAGCGGCTGGCGCACTGGGTTGCCACGGCTGTACGGCGGCCGTATCAGACGCAGGGTCTGGCCCTCCCGGTGGGCTTCAGGTCGCATCCCACGCGTGGGATGGCGGCCTCTACGGCCCTTCTCAGGGGGGTGTCGGTCGAGGACGTATGCCGTGCGGCTTCTTGGGCTTCGTCCTCCTCTTTCGTCCGGTCTTATCTTTTGGATGTGTCGGACCGGTCGGTGGCCCATTCCGTGCTGAGTGCAGCGGACTGAGTTAGACCGTTAGGTCCCTCCTCTGAGGGGGCCTTCGGTTTACTTTCCGCCCTGGTTCAGGAGCTCTTGGGAGAGGCATCCTACAGGTGCGGTACATATATGTGTGTTTTGGTCGGTCTGGTAGTCCACGTCAGGAGCCCTTGGGAGAGGCGTCCTGTGACTACGGATGACCTATATCTGTGTTACGTGGGGGTATCCTTGGTAGGAGTGGCCCTGTAACACGCATTGTTTCTTCTGCCCTGAGTCCTCTCACTTTGTGAGGGTCTTGCTCGGGCGGAGCTCCAATCACCCTTCGCTGGCCTGCTGGGAGTACATTTTCATACGGCCTCCGCGTTGTGTCCCACTAGCGAAGTCCTAAGGGACGTAGCACCATGACGTAGAATTAATAGTTACTTAATGTAACTTAAGTTCTACGAATAGGTGCGTAGTCCCTTAGCTACGAGCCCATCAGGCCAGCCCGGCTTGGCAGAGTTCAAGAGGGGGTGCGGCCTTGTGCAGGGGCATTTATAGAGGAAGGTGGCTGGTGATTGGAGCAAATTATTTTGATCTCTCTGGCGTGTGACCTGGGGGTCACGAGTGATATCCCACTAGCAAAGTCCTAAGGGACTACGCACCTATTCGTAGAACTTAAGTTACATTAAGTAACTATTAATTACACATTATGCATAATGTTTCCCATGGGAATTTATATGTATTTTACTTATTTATGAAAGCTGAACTGAAACCCTAACCCAATTCTACAGTTATGGAAAGTGTCACCTGTTTATCTTTTTTTTTTTCTTGTCCCATATGTCCCACAGTGTAAATGTTTGTGTGCATGCTAATTTAAATAGACTTAAAAATGGAACCTACTTTTTATTGGTTTTATAACATTTTAACAACTACAATTTAACCTTTTGCTGCCAGTTTCTTGCCTGCATGCACACAAACACACATGCACACACAAACAAACACTCATAAACACACACATCAATGCTAATCATCAGGCTAAAAACTGAAATACATCATGTACATTATTTTTTGTAATCAATAATTAGCGTTAACATTTAGATCAGAAAAGGCCGTACATGTTGACCTTCTGTTTGGAGATAAAGACAAAACATGTAGATATAATTTAGAATTTTTAAGTGTTTATAGGGTACTGTCCATTCCTTTCACTCTTCTGACCTGACCTGTTATTGGCGGAAGCAGACAACATACTGCACGTATAAGCAATATCTCCTGAGTTTTATTGAGCTCGGGGTTAGTATGGTTCCCCTATACACAGTCTTTGATAATAACAAAACACTACTTTTTATTAACAACATTGAAAGACAACTAAACCTTGAGGACTGTGACCTTTTGGTAATGCTAACTAGTGAAAAGAATCAAAAACACTCAAAACCATTTTAATTTTTCTCACGATGAACCACAAAGGAAATTGCCCCAATACTTTAAATAGGGAGTGAGGACCTCAGTCTCCAGGGTTCGGTAAAACACAAGGCTGTAAAATGTCTTAAACATCCAGAAATACTTCATTCCACATTCCACACGGGATTGGGAGGATACTTACCTGCATTGACCTCAACCTCAGTGACAAATACACAAAACATACCTCCTCAACATTTCCACCCAGGATCAACAAATTCATAACCAAAGAGCATACATTATCGCTAGTCATCGTGCGGCCTTTGCAGTTTAAAAGCCTAAAAAACAGGAGCATAAGGAGTGTGTGGGCGTTATGATTTTGTCAGACAGATTTGAAATAATAAGCTTTGTCTGAAAAAGATTGAAGAGGATTGAGTGTGTTCGTGATTCATAATCAGGGATAACAGCCTAATGGTCGCATGCACATATAAGATAAGATAAGATAAGAATTCCTTTATTCGTCCCACAGTGGGGAAATTTCGATGTTGCAAATTTCATATAGGACAAATTTCAATATAGGACATATAAAGGATTAATATACAGTTTATGAGTGTTGTGGTGTTCTAGTCCCAAACAGGTGTGAAGTCTAATGAGCGCCTTCCCTTCCCCCTTCTTGATTGCTGTCTTTGACACCTCTCCTGCGTTACATTACGTCACCTCCACAGGAAATGAGATGCTCCAGTTCATATGTGTAAAAGACACCGGCTGTTTTCCTGTGCCCTGTTATTGCGGTGGCCTGTTATTCCCATTCAAGTTCATTTAATCATTTCTGTAGAATACCAAAGTAAATCCTGATATATATTATTCTCCTCTCACATTGACACAGACTGAGCTAGTGCTGTACCCTCTAAAGTGCATTATGCAATTGGAGTCTGCAGCAGGGCAATAGTGCACCTGTCAGTCTCTGCTGGCCTCCAGTGGAGGACATAGGTACTGCAGTTACTTCTTTTTGTCATTGCCAGTAGATGTCAGTGTTTCAACCTGACCATAAAGGAAAACACATGGGTTAGAGATTGTGAATAAGATACACGTTTTCTTACAATGTGTGAATAGTTGTAGGGTCTTCAGGTAAGACTAACATAACTAGCTAAATAGTCTTGAAGCTCTAGACGAGAAAGCATATCTTTTAACAAGAAATGTAAAACTAACATTGTAACAGAATTAATGCCTTATTATAACTACAGTATATGTTTACTGTAGTATCATTTGTTAATGCACAATAATGACAAAGCAAATTCCTACTTTATTGTTCGAGTTAAACAAAAGATTGAAATAGTGGGGATTCTAGGTGAAAATTTGTACTGCTTTCATGCAAAATGACTGAATGTTTTAGAAATAAAAACGTGTATAAGTGCAAACAATTTTAATGTTTGCACTTTGTTTGATTTGAGAGACACACAGATATATATATATATATATATATATATATAATATCAATCTGTTAGATATTTGTTCATTGAAGTAATGGACCTTCAAAAAACAAGATATATTCATATTCAATTGCATAATTTGCTGTGACAATAGTGCATCCTTTCTCGAGAACTTGAACATCGGGCAAATAAGATTTGCTTCCTAGTTCCTCCTGGGTGATTAGCATGAGGAGACCACAGACTTCCTGACATGCCTAGCATCATAATAGCGCTCAAAAGGACAGTGAGCTGTAGAAACTTGTCACATGAATATAATCAGCAGGGCGCTAATGTGACCCCAGCCCTGACCTGAGACCACTACTCCACTTTCTCGCTCTTGATCCTGGAGATTCTTCTGATGTGGAGGGTAGGTGTGAGATTTCCCTTTGGGCATAAAAGCCTAAAGAGGCTCTCATTAGGGACTATGTGTAAGTTTCATTCTGTGAATACATTATAAGTTACTGTCTCCAGTCTCTCCAGACTTCAGTCTGCAGAGAGCTCCAACAGAGACAGGTGCAATTCAGACTACTCCCAGGTAAGAGGCTCATAACTTTGAACCACTAACACTCTCATACAGTTATTTGGAATCATTTATTGATTATGTATTTCTATTTTGTCTTTTAGAAACAAAATGAATGTTTTACCATTAGTGCTGGTGCTTTTTGCAGTTTATGGACAGTCACGACGTATTGGTGAGTACAGTTATTAACTGCATAATGTGTAGGACAGAGGAAAAGGAAGGCCAAAGTCAAGTGGAGCATAGTTAAAATTCAAAAGAGACACAGGAATAAGCCAAGAATTGGTGCAAATAATAAAAACCACTTATATTATAAACATTAAGTATACAAAATACAGGTTTATAGGTTTGACCAGTACATTCATTCATGTTTCAGTGTAATCATACAGTATTTACTTTTTGTACTTAAAATATTCACTATTTCTTCTTTTCTACAGCTTTTGATTAAATTGTGTCACTTGAAAATGTATTCGGGTCAACTTTAGTTTGCCTCCAGTTGGTGATACATCTTTTCTAACATTCATATTTAATTCAGATTTTTTTTATTAAAACGAAGTCAGTCCCATATTTCAATAGTGATGAAAATTGCCCTAAATAGTGGCAATAATACACTGTAATTGCTTTATGTTGTGTTTAGGAAAAAGGAAACCGCAAATAACTCCCCTGGCTGGAAATGAAGAAGAAATAATTGAGAGGGGCCTAATCTTGAACGCTGACCAAATTGCTGACATGAACAAAGCCTTTAGTCATATGAGAGAGGAAGATAATTATGATCCCCTGACACATAGATTAGTGCGAGAGGAAGAAGAGCGCATGCTGGTGGCAGGACTCCATCTTGACAAGAGGAATTCTGCCCATAATGACCAAAGTGCTGCTCCCCATTTACCTTTAAGCTCCGGCCTCTTGTCCAGTGTCAGAAGACCAAATCCTCCTCCGGTCCCTGCATCGGTCGGTGACGCCAAGTCTGGGTTTTTCACGGAGGATCTCATCGCAAAGGTGTTACCAACTCCCACACACAGCTTCACAGTGGAAGTAAACAAAAGACACAGTTTGGTGGAAGTAATGCATACAACAGAGAGTGAAGACAGCATCAAAGAAACAGGGATTTCGACTGGACCTGATGAAACTGCTTTGACGTACAAATCAATTGCGGCAATGTTAAGTTCAGCTAAAACACAGGTGTCAAATGTAACGGAGGCCTCAACGACTGTATCAGCAAAGTTAACTGAAAATCAAAGTATACCTCCGATCAAAGACAGAAGTAAATCTTCTCAAGCTTTGAAAACACAAGAGCAAAATGTCACGACCGCAGAAAAATCCAACATCAAGACTGTGATAAGGAGGATGAAGGAAAATACGAAGAACACAATGCATTTTCCATACTTCTTGGACAACTACTGCCCACCAGAGTGTGCCTGCTATGGGAGGTAAACAAACAATACTAATAAACTGGTACAATAATACTAATTAAAAGAATAACGGTAATACTAATAATAATAATAACAAGTACCAATATTACAGTGGGGTAAAATATTTTTTGTATGTTTTGTGTATATATTAAAGCAGTGTTTCTCAAACTTTGTATAAAATGGTTATCTACGTTTTTTCATAAACATAACTATCTGTTAGCACCAAAAGAAAGTGTTGTGTGAACAAAATCAAACCACAGCATTTGACTTGAAGTTTTGGGCTGATTGGCTGAGCAAGTGTAGTCCTTTTTAACTTTTCTGTCAGAAAAAGCTGATCTAAAGTCACAAAAGGCCAAACAATATGTACATTTGGAAACTTTCTTGTGGGTTGAAAAGTAGTTAGTCTTAAAGCTGAGGGACCTAAGATGGTTTTGACCAAACGTATTAGAGTATGGTACAGATATAGTGGCACACTACAGGCCATAATTTATTAGGTGGTACGTTTTGACAATTATAGTCCAATCAAAGTAGAAGTGTCATTTACTGTATAATTATAGGAATGGTAGTAATGTAAATGAGAACAGAATTTTTAACATAAAGTTTGTATCTCTAACTTGATTTCAGAGTGGTACAATGCTCAGACAAAGGCGTGGACAGAGTTCCTTATGGCATCCCCTACAACTCCCGCTACATCCTGCTTATGAACAACCACATCGACCACATCCAGCTGGATTTCCTTAGCGAATACATCTCCATGGAGTTCCTGGCCCTTACCAACAATCGCCTGACAGATGGCGCTATTGAAGGGGCTTTTGAGGGGGTTCCTGCTCTCAAGCGGCTCTATCTGGACTCCAACCAGCTACAAAGTGTTCCCATTGATCTTCCAATGTCATTAGAAGAACTGCGTTTGGATAACAACCAAGTCGAGCTGATGTCTGAAGTTGCTTGGACCCATTGTCCAGGACTCTTAATACTCAGCATGAAAAACAACAGCCTCGGTTTTGGAAATGCTTCAAATTCTTTACCAAAAGCTGTTATGTCGCCTTTGTGCAAGCTGCAAATTCTTAACTTGGACCACAACCAGCTAACTTCTGTTCCATTAGGGCTTCCATTGTCTCTCAAAGAGCTGTATCTCAAAGGAAACCGCATTGAGGAGTTTCGCAATGGCACTTTCAATGGAAAATCTGAGCTGGTCGTATTAGACCTGAGTAAAAACAGATTGACAAATAAAGGTCTTTTTAAGGACACACTTCTAAACGCAACACATCTAGAAAGTTTAAACTTAGAGGGAAACAGGTTGAAACAAATCCCACAGCATCTTCCTCTATCGCTGAAGACTCTCAATCTGGAAGATAATCTCATAACTACTATCAGGAAAATGTCTTTTGGGATTCTAAAGAACCTGGAACATCTGAGTTTAGCCAGAAACAACATTTTCAAAGTGGCAGTGGGTGCATTCAGAAAACTACCGCTGCTGCATATGTTGGATTTGGGACATAATGCATTGAGACAGGTCCCGAGGCAGCTTCCCCCAAGTCTCCACTCTGTAGGTCTCACACACAACCGCATTGGAGCAGTGCCTCGGGACGCCTTCTGCTGGGGCAACAACACTGGCCTGAGTGGGCTGGTCCGAGTGCAGCTGCAGAACAATGTCATAGATATGTCAAAGATAGATACACACGCCTTTAGGTGTCTAAGGGGATTCCAGGTAGTTCACTTGTACTGAGACAATCATAAATAATAACAATGATAAAACTATTGCATTCAAGAACAAACCACTGCAAACAAAGACTAATTCTGCATTGCTAATTGTAACATATGAAAGAGATGATCATGTGATTCATATGTTCTCTAAATTAGTCGCTGTGTTATATTGCACTTGATTTTAATTTCCTATTAAAAAAGATATTACAAAGATTTGGATGATTTTGTTGCCCTGTGGTTCACAAAGTGTGGGTCGGAACACCAAAGGGGGTTGTGGAGTATTGGCTGGTTCTGGATGAGTTACAAAATACTTTTTACATTTTTCAGTTATATTAGATCTAATGAACTGAATTTAGCATGTGTGATCTTGTGTTGCTCTCTGTTCCCTTTACCTGCTCAGAACCGGGGGGAAAAAGCTTTTGTATATTCTGCTCCTTTTACATGGAATGCGTTGCAAAAAGACTGGAAATTATCTGAATTTATTTCATTGAATGCCTTCCAGTCCAGATTGAGAGCACTGGAGACATCCTCATTGACATGTAACTGTTTTTATAATCTGTAATTTCATGAAATTGGGTGTAACTTTCGCTGACTCTTTTCCAGGACTCCCATAAAAAAGAGAATCTTAATCTCAATGGGACTTTCCTGATTAAATAAAGGTTGAAAAATAAATACAAAATTACTATGTATTACAGCTAGTACAGCTGTTTTATCCAGTGGAAAAAGCAGCTCAGTAAAGTGACAAATGAGATAAACTTTGGAAAAATAAAAGCCTTCAAAACTCTTATATAATAAATATTTTGAAATCTATACATATGCCAGTTAAATCACATGGCAGCCAACTATCCAACATAGCCTTTATTTTTAAGTACGTACAGTTCCCCACATGAGGGCAGTACTGTATTGCAGTATAGAGTTGCAGATTGCAGTTTTCAGTTTAACCGTAGTCAGCCTGCAGTAGCTGTTGGTTGGCTTATTTCCAGTGGGTAAATAAAGGGATTGTGGCCAATGAAAATTCTTGTTGACATTGTGGTTAATTGCACCACTTGGCTTCAAACCCAAAATAAAGCAATAACTCCAGTAAGATAGTAATAAGTCACAAAGAAGTATGACTCCGAAGTGAATCCATGTAAACTATCAACGTCTCCAGTATCATCTCAAACCCGCAAATATGAAAAACACACATTTGCATGAATAAGCATGTTTGTCTTTGGGCATGTGGCAGCCAGAGGGGAATGGGAGAATTAGCCAACGTGGAGGTGCTTTTTTTCATTCTGGGTTTAATAAGCCGAGAGCGAGACGACGTGGCACTGCACCCTGAGTCTGCACAGGGATGAAGGGGGAGGGGGTGTGGGTGGGAGAGACGAAGGGAGGATGGATCCAAGCTCCTTTTTGGCTCAGCGTGTGTTTGAATGTGCAATGAGAGGAGCAAGCAGGGAGCACACCAGCACCTCCCGACAGTCCTGCAGGACCCTTAACACTGCACCAATGACACATACACCTGATTACACAACTCTAATAGTCTTTGTCATGGCCTTGAATCATTCATGAGCTAAGAAGGGACACTGATTTAAACAGTGGTGCAGTGTGTGGGAGTCAACCCAACCATGTGCCATAGTCTAACTCTGCCACACAAGTCATTTGCCAGATGGAGACTCATGTGTTGGATGCACTTCAATGTTTAGGCTTTTCCCAGAGGAGCTTTGCAGGATTAGATATAAGAACAGTACAGTCTGTGTCAGCAGCAGCACCTGTAGCCTCACTCAACTATTGTATACCATTGTGTTTAACCTGCCTATACCTCCCTTCTTCCAAGCTCCAGTATGGTGCAGGTCTAAAGCAAGCAACTCATGCAATCCAATGTCAATAGTACGTATGCATTACTGACATAGAATGCAAGATATGTGCATGTTTGGTTCACTTCTCAGAAAATAAGTTTTGCAATCAAAATAACACCACATATGCACGCTCTCAATCCAAGGAATAGTGAAACTGTCCAGTGTTGACCACATGTATACTCTTTAGAGCGCTACTGAAAAACTGTAAAAGTAAGAAAGCAGCGGATATTAAACCACACCCAACATGCGCTGTCCAGATGAGCAGCAAGTCAGACGGCAGACAGAGCAAGTCGTGCAACTATTAAGAAGCTATTTGCACAGTTACATTAGTGAACCCATCGGCCTTCAACTCAAGAGGAGGCTACATAAGTTTGATTACAGGCGTCACAATTTAAGACATGCAAATCAATTATTTTTTGTTGTTCCTAGAAAAGAAATTGGCTAATTGTCATTCTACCACAAAACACATTTTGACTGGAATAATCTCCCTGCCTCTATCCGCTCTATAACCTCCTTTAATATGTACAGAAATGCCCTTTTGTCATATCTACAAAGGCCTTGTAATTGTTTTTGAAATGTGTGTTCTACAATGTCCAACTGTAACTGATTTTGTTTACTGTAGAGCTGTGTGAGTGTGTGTGTGTGTGTGTGTGTGAGTGTATGTTGTCGCTTGTTTGAAAGTAAGTGTGAAAAGGTTTATGTTTAGTTATAATTTGTTTCTTTTCTTTCTTTGGTTCTGAGCCTGTACTGCTGTTTCTGTCTTGTGTTTTTGCTTTCTTGTAATTCTTTTGAGGACCCGCTTGAAAACGAGATGACGCATCTCAAGGGGTTTATCCTCTCAAATGAGTAAGTAAATAAATAAACACAGCACTATTAAAGGCTGTGCTTCCTATACTTTTCACAACTGCAATTGATTTCCCAATCCTCGCCAAAACAAGCCACAATCCAAATCAACTCAAGTTTACACAATCTTGATTCTCAAAAGCTGTCCCTGTGAAGGGTTAAAATTAGTCAGGAGCACAGCGTAGTTGCAATAGAAGAAGACAGGGGGCACTTCAGAGGAGCTGTGTGGAGCCGTGAAGCAGCTGAGAGGAGGGCTAAAGGAGTCCAGGAGGAGGGGAGAGGGATTGAAACCATGGGAGCCAGAGGGACCCCTAGACACAGAGGCATACGGACGCAATCTGCCCTTCGCACCGCCGGCATGCACTGACACCACGCAAGCACAACTTCAGAACTTTTACACAATGTCCGGCCGCACACACGGGTTTAAACAAGCTGGGTAAAATAAATAAGGTCCATAAGGCTCATTCAATGGGCCTGTGGCGATGATGCTTTGCACATAGGATTTTGTTGCACTAAGTGACCACAAGAGGGACTCGGGATTAGATGTTCTTTTTTAAGTGAGCTTCTGTTGTTCAAATCTCAATAAACTATCGAATAACACAAAAGTATTTGTATGTATTATGTACTATCTATACACTCTCTGTATCACTCTATATAAGTTTATTAATCACTGTATAAAAAAACATATAATTCAATATAATGAAATATGGCCAGACGTACATGTGAGTGCCCCAGGTCAGATTTACCTGTCTGTGGGTCTCTGATGGAAAACCTGTGTGGGATCAGGGGTCATTCTCTCTCACTCACTTCCTGCACATTCCTCACTTTACACTGGCAGAGCGTGGAAAATCAAACCGCCTCCAGCCCTCAGGTGTCTACCCGATGTAAAGAAGTGGCCTGTAAAACTGTGGCATATTTTTCATTGTCTTCACCAAGCTTTGACTCCGGTTTTCAACCTCACATCAGTATAAAAACTGACAGCTCTTAAATCTATCTTCACTCACAAAAATAACAACTGTTAAGATGTTTTGTTCTTTTTTTGCCCCAGGACAGACTCTATAAAGCAGCACTTGCTTCCCCTGTTTTCTGACTTCCTGTCTGGTCTATTACCATAGCATTACACATCAACAAAGACAGCTTAGGGTAAAAGCCAGTTTTTTAGTTTTTTTAAAAATGATTAACGAGGAAAAGGACATGTTTAAAGAAAAGTATCATATTCCTATGTTTCCCCTCTGAATATTATTTTCCATTTTGCAAACAGCACACATGACCTAGAGCAATACTTCTAATGCATGTCTTAACACAGTCTATTTAAAAGGCAGACGTATCTGCACTTGACAAAGGGAAATAACAGAAATATGGAAAACATAATCTGCTTTCAGACCGCCAACGCCGGAAGTGGCGGAAGTAGCCGGCCGGCTCTGATGCTAACAGAGTTATGCTAGCGGCTTCTTGTGTAAAGATCTTTTCCAATAATGCAGCGTGTCTGTGTTCAGAGACCTTCCAGAGACTTTATATAACAGTAGTATTTGTTCACGGAGGTGCGCAATACGTTTATTTTATTATTAAATGGTACTTCCGCATTGGCGAACACACTCGAAGCAGTTGCATAAAGTCACGGGAGCATGAAAACTCACATGTTAACAAGCACTATATCCCCCATTGTCAACCCTGGTTTTAGTCCTGGTGTAGCTCCTGTTTTGGCTGTTTACAGTATGTTCAGTCTGCTCGCTCAGACCGCTATTGTCCCTGTGACCACTTTGCGGCTCTCTGATTGGTCGCTGCACGAACGTCCCGAGGAAAGGTTGAGCAAAATTAATCTCCTGCGTGCGTCGATTTTCCGCTCCTGCTCCTCCCCTTCGATTTTCCCGCGCAGTCCGTGCGTCTCTACTGAGCAGTCCGTGCGTGCATCTCAAGACGCTCGTGCGTTTTGACGCCCGAACGCGCATCACCATTGACTTTGCATTGAAAGCCGACGCAATGCATGATCCGGTCTGAACGCGGCATAAGTTTTCAAGCAGGTAATCAGAGATGTGCCTTTCATTAAGGTTGCCAGTTTGTTAGATACATTTCAGCATCTATATCAAATGAAAAACAGCACCACACATATATTAAAGCCAGATACAAAGGTATTAAGGCTTAGAGGGTTATTTTAGTAAGACAAAGAGTGTAACAATGTTCTTTATTTTCATACTAATAGGTTGGGACAATGCAAAAATAGTAGGATTGGAAGACCATAAACATGAAAAATATGAGATGTAATTTTATCTAATTTTATGTAATTTTTCATGTAATTTTACAGTGCTAGCTTGACCAATGGGATGCCTTCATTCAAAAGAGAAACTCATGGATGTTGTGAAGTCACATGTTTAGTTAAAGTTCACAGAATCTGCTCGTCCGCAGCTGCCTGGGAACCTACAGGTTTCTTAAAAATCGGGGTTTTGTGGGGATCTTTGTGTCAATTGTCATCCTTAACTTTCTCACACTTTAATGCTATAAAGTTGACTCACTGTCGACACCACTCTAGTTCTGCTCTGATCAGCGGCGCACTGATTTGTCAGAATGCTCATGCATTGCGTCACTCCCGCTAATGTTTGGGACGTTCTTTATGTGCGCATGCACCAAAGAGCACAGGGCAGACATCTTGGAAGCCCAGGTTTGGAGAAACTCCAAGCTTGCCTCGTCTGTCCCTGTTACAGCACAAACCTAACGCCGTCGGAGAAACTAATGCCCTTCCACATTCAGCAAACACTATGAGTGAAGTTAGCTCTTGGTCAGTCCACTCCTAATATACAGTCTCTTTGTGTACCATGTGAAAACAATAATACCTTTTTTTTTTGTATAAATCTCTTCTTTACACCAAGAAAATGATGTTACTTTAACAGCATTATTAATTGATTCCATACCGGTGGTTGTATGACTGACTGAAGCAAGACAATTCGACATTTTGACCACCACAAACATTCAGCCACGAGCTTCTTACTGGGTTCATTATGTGGGTGAAATGTCCTGCCTGAAGTTACAATGACAGAGCCACTTTAGAGCCACAGCTGTCCCACTGACCCTTGTTTTTCAGTGGTCTCCCATCCACAGCTAACCAGGCCTTGCACAGCTGTGTTTAAGATCTCTGGAGCGTCAGATCTGTGGAGATCTCACTTAGTACAAATGCAGGAAAAGGTATTATAGATGAATAATAATACTCAAAATAAAATAAATAAAGGTAAAGGTGCACTTTATTAATCCCCGTAGGACAAGTCATCCTCTTGACCCATCCTGATGCCACTAAGGCTTACGTCTGGAGCAGTGGTCGCCGTAGTACAGTGCCCGAGAACCCATCTCCAGCTGTTGATGCTCGCCTTGGGTCAGGACTACCAGAGCTGGAGGATTTACTTAGTGTGCGTGTTTTTAGTGGAAGGGGAACCCAGAGCACACGGAGGAAACCGATGCAGACATGGGGTGAACATGCAAACTCCACTCAGAAAAGCCCTGTTCCAACTGGGATTCAAACCCAGGACCTTAATTCTGAGAAGCGAGAGCGCTATCCACTCAGCCACCGTGCCGCTAAATTATAATCCATAATTCAGTACTGTACTTTTACATTAGATACCATGAGCACCTTTTACTCATGGGCGTTTACAAATTGCACAATGTCTGTCAACAAATTACCCATGACCGCAAACATTAGGCTGCAAAATGTCTGGTTCAGGTTTGCTCTGCTTCCTGGTCTCTAATCTCACACATATAAAGTGAATTAGAAACACTGGTGTCAACATCACAATTAGAGGAGATCTTCCTGTGATCGCAGAGCAGATTACACAACTATAGTGTGTTTAGGAGTCTATGGTGTAAAGTGTTGGGACAGCTCCTCTTTGTCAGCACACTGCGCACAGGCAAGTCCAGGCACAAGAAGAAAAAAGTAAGGCATTCTGCTGATTCAACAAAAATCCAATTATATTTAATAAGCAGCAAATTATACAAATCCTCCGTACGTTCGCTGTAAGTGTTTTCTTTTATGAACAAGACTAGAACTTATTCATGTTTAAACCAGGTCAGTAAGAAGTCCGGGGTAAAGTGCAGTTGATTATTTTTGTATAACACAGTCCGGCAAAAACATTCATCATAGAAACATGCAACAACTAAATGTTTGATAATTGTGAGCACACTTCACCTCATTGTGTACTGGGCTGTTTAATTCTTACTTTAATCAAGCAGTTTCACAACATTGAATATAGATTCATTTACTGTATATTATAGTTGAAGTGTGTTGATAAACTTTACAAAAACTTCCAATTAAACTGTTAAAACACATTTCCCATTCCTTTTCAACAAAAATGTCAAAAAATTTAATAAAAATGTAATTTTTATGTACAAAAAAAAGACATACTAGTCCAAAACCAACTTTATGATCAACTGCTATCTTTAAAATTTTAGGTATAAAAATGATAATATTTGATCCCATGCAGGAACTGATGCCAAGTTACCAACCCTGTTTGATATATTTAATTTAATTTAATTTATGTATAGTTTATTTGGTTGGGTACATGTTAATGAACACATCACTCCGGATTGTAGCATTGAGCTAATTTGCATCCGTTGTCCCACATTCACACTCATTCACCCTATTGCCCATGTTTTTAGTGGTAGGGGAAACCGGAGCACCCGACCGAAACCTACGCAGACACGGGGAGAACATGCAAACTCCACTCAGAAAGGCCCTGTTCCGACCTGTTCAAACCCATAACCTTCTTGCTGAGAAGCGAGAGTGCTATCCACTCAGGCCCTAATCTTAGTCGAAAGAAAAAGAGGGAGAAATCTGGAGGTAATGTTTGAACTTTATAAAACTTCTGCCAAAGAATTGTCTGACCACAACTCATCCGTTTGAAGACACTCTGCGCTGACCACAGAGAAGGGCTGGGGCGCACATTTGGCCAACACCTAATTGACTCCTTCAAAATGTTCTCTTTTGCTCTTGTTTTGCTTCACACAGCTCTTCACTGTGCTCAACATTTGCTCTGACATCCATCATGAATGACCCTAACATGTGCCTTCCTCATTATGATGAGCAGAACACTCCTGGCCCACTTTCTCGACAGAGTCTGTTCCCTTGTGTAACTGAAAAGTACCTCTATAGCGAAGATGAGCGCATACCCCATTATTTACGCCATAAGCCTGTGATGGGAAAATACATTATTATTTGTTGATTGATAATGATAATACATACATATGGCATTTCTTACATACCAAAAACGACTGATATATACATTTAGATTCACCCTCCCCCAGTTGTGATGCCAGAAAGAAGGTAATTCTTGGTTTATGGTCAGCACACTTGAGAAAAACATGTATTTCTAACACCAAATGAAACAA